AAATAAACGATCTTCTGTCCAATGGCCATTAAAACGTCGTAAACGGGATAATAACCTTAAAATTAGGGATCCAGCCGGAACTTTTTGTAAAAGAGCTTTTAAGATTTGTGGGTTGGAAAAATTTGAACCAATCGTATCGTTTGAATCACAGGAGTGCCAAAGCAGCTGCTTGAGATACTACGTACCTCGTTCTTTTTTATACGGTCTTGCAACATGCTCCGTGCAACAGACCGCTGTGTGTTATCGTTTTTTTTTTTGCTTTTTCACAATTAATTCTTTTACTGGCACCACTGTAAGCACCTTCAACAGCACCAGTTTTGCCAATTTCGGTGAGTTTGGCGTAGGTACAGAGCAAACACAGCTCGCTAGCTACAACACCACGCAGCCAGTTCGCGAATCCTGGGAGTCGTATACCTTGTTTGCCTGATTACCAAAAGACAAGGATAACGATGCTACAATTTCAGCTTTGACGAATCTAAACGCGAAGCACGGCAGCAAGGAAAAGAGCATTTTTCGACACCATTTTTCAACTAAAACTCTCTAATTTTTTCTGAATTTTTTGCCTCTAGACCTGAGAGTACGAGAATATTTAATTGTACACATTTGTGGTTGTACGTAAGTTGAAAACATCTTCATAAATCTTAAATTTCTTGCTCCTTTGATTATTGAGTCGAATACGGAAGTAAAATCCGCATAAAAACACATGCACAGCCTTTTGACAACATATGTTTTCGAATCCTATAAATGGTGCAAAAAATACATTAAAAAAAACTTAATTCAAGCGCCTCCTAGAAATATTGTATTTCCTTTCTTGTTCTTCTAGTTGCTGCTAGTATCCTACATACCTATTATGGTAACGAACGAAGACGGTGTGAAGAGCCGATAAACCGATGAATAAATTGGAACGATTATCGCCGGTCCTAAATTTGCTGCTAGTATCCAGAGGTGGTAGCAAACGTCCATGAACTTGTATCATTTGCATATCAGCTTGACGGAATGCCCGGAATAGACCATGACTTGGCATATCGCTACCATAGACCTTGGAACATATTGGAATTATACTTTCACATTTGAAATAATAAAAAGTTATAGGTTCAGGAATTCGGAACTTAAAATTTCTTAAGATTTGTAAACGTATTCAAAAAGTACAGCTGTTAAAATGAAAACGTAAGACTTGCTAGCGTCTGAAGAGGAATTTCTTTTTTGTAGTTATCTGAGGCAATAAATGTTGTGTTTGAACTAACCACTATAAAAGTCAAAAACCTTCAGTACTCGCTTTATATGAGAGCAGGAAGCACTTGGGAAGTAGCCCGAGTTGTTGAAAATGCCAACAACAGTCACAAGGCTGTCGAAACTCTCTTTTTCGAGGGTTCCTTACAAATAAGCCGATGGAGCGTTTGACTCCTTAGTTCCAATTTACCACCGAAACGACTGAACGAATATCGGAGAAAATGATTGTCCAGTGTATCAGAGGAAAAATGAAATAAAAGTCTTTTTGAAGGTGACGCTCCTATTCCCAAGTTTTATTAAAGAGCCACATTTGAGATTCACTTGATCTTCTATTACGAATGCTTAAGCTGTCAAGGATATAAGGAAAAATAGTCAAATTTTTTTATAAATAAAAAGTTCCAACCATTGATGCATCAATAAAAGCCGTGTTTTCGTTTAACTGTTCACGTGGCGTATTGCCAGTACCCGTTGCGCAAACCGGCACTGACCGCTTGATTGGGATACATGGGACATTTTTATTTCTGAAATTTTGTCATAGATATAATACGTCTTCTTATACATGACATTTAGATCAATCCCTCCCATTCTACTGATTTCGACTACATGCTTTTTGTCCAGAAGTGTCTTTGTATATAATTATGCTGATAAAATTGCTGAGAAATGCTGCTAACCTCCTATCTTCGCGACCCAGTGCAACGATCATGCACTCGGGGCCTCCGCTACACGTACACCGGCCAACAAGCTTATTTTTGGTAATATCATGGCTCAAAAATTGTCCGAATTGCATCAGCATACTGCTCGCATTCGACGCTATCATTCGACGTGATGACAGTAGCGAGCGCGAGACTAAACGAGCATTTGGGCGGTTCTGCCGCAGTGAACCTGAAATTATTTTTTAGCAATCTCGGCAAATGGGATATTTAGTTTGCAGCTTAAAAAAAGCTCAAAACTTAAATTTCGACAAATTAAATGCTGTCAAAAAAGACAAAGTTTTGCTACAGATGACAAAAAAACTTCAAATTTTTTGCTGAGGCAGCAAATGCAAGCCTGGGAAGCTAATGCCAGATTTGTACAGAATTCATCAACGTTTCCCATTCCAAAATTCCGTTTTATAAGCCGCGTAATTACTAAGCTGGAACAAACCTACAACGGCGTTGATCCCGTCGTCGTAAGCCGGATCAAGCAGCCGAACATACGGCGTATATGCAGCACCCTGAAATAATTTCATATCTTTGATTTTTCCAATAAGCTTCAGTTGCTTCTTTCTCGTTTGGTGAAGTAATCCATGCAAGAAAGTGAAACTGTTCCACTTCTTCGTGAAAAACGCGAAAAGTGTCATTAGAGAAAAAAATACCATCAACGAATTGGCTAGATTGTTACAGGAACCATCGAAGGTACGATAACTCTGATGAAAACACTCATCTCGGAGGCAGTTATTTGGAATATTCGTTCGCGTACACATACCATTCATTGTGCTAGTTGATGTGATACGGCGTGGTATTGCTAAAGAAACAATTAGAATCTTTGAAAACACTGAATCGAACAATCCAAAACGTCTATTTTACTTGACAGTCGTTAACACAGTTTCTCTGTTACTGACAAAAATGCAGTGAGCTAAGAGAATGGAAATACTCATCAGAGTGCTTTTATTCGATTATTCATTATTAAAAGTTAAAGTATTAAGCAAGAAAGTTATTTTAGAACATGCGTAATTTTCTTTCCCATGAATCATGAAAATTATTTTCGGCTAAATCTTTTGAGAAAGCTTTTCTTAAAAATATCAATGTTCCGCTAATGGCACAGTCACACGGACTGTAGCTAAAATAATGGTTTGCATAATTAAGGTTCCTAGAAGTCTACAGCCGCGGTTGCTCATCAAGACTAATGGTGGGTTGACCTTGACGACTTTGAAATGCTGTTATACGTTGAGCACAGCTCTATCACATTCACTGCTTTATCCTGAGATGCGAAAGGAGCCAAGATTTAGTTCAGTTGTAGTGGAAGAAATACTAAAATCAAGGATACATTTCTTCCTGAAGGACGCCCTGTAACTAAATTTACTA